CAGAGAATCTAGGTAGAACACAACTCATTAGCCTTTTCAAAAGCTGCTGAGAACAGGAAATGCAGCTGAGAAATTATATTGTTAATTACAAATCACAATTAATAACTACCATTAAGACAATGGACCAAAACCTAACTGCATTAAGTCTTGTAGTCGCACTTAAAAAAGCAGTAATCAGTGAGGAACTGATGAGGGATTGGGGGAGCTAATAGCTTCATGGTAGGTTTTGCAATGCCCCCACTTCAACAGGCATTACTGATTCTGCCTCAGTTGAATGGCAAAATGATTAATTCTATTTGGTATTTTTTAAATCAGAAAAAGATTACTAAGAAGTACACTCTTTGTTTTAGTGCCCTAATTAAAAAAATAATAATGACTTCCTCAATCGGTAATTAATAATAAAACATCAAAACTATGAGAAAAAGAAAACTGCCTGTTTGCTAAACTATGAAGTCTTTGGGGTTATTGATCTATTAAATAAGTCTGATGGCTGTTTCCCTGAGAATATACCATGAATTTTGACTACAGAGTATTTTGCTGCTGCACCTTGTTGGGGACCGTAGTCTGTAGCAACATGGAAAGGGGTGACCTTCTCTTGGCTATCTGTGCTCTCAAAACCAATATACATCTGTAGGAAGACTAATCACAGCAAAATCTACATGGTCTATAGCGCCAACCGCTATTAGTTTATTATATCCTATTATATTCAAATTAAGATAATGCAATTGTTAGTTTCAATTTAAACATCAACACATATATTTATATTGATTTTTTATCCTTTATATTGATTTTTATCTTTTATATTGTTTCATATCTATGGTTTGTACTCACTGAGTTTATTTATACCTTTACATTTATCATTCATCATTCATTTACAAGTATATCTTGCATATATATATATATATATATATATATATATATATATATATATATATATATATATATATAATGTGTTAGTAGTTTATTCTATATGTTATTAGTTTATTATATCCTATTATATTTGGCAGCCATCCTAAAAGACAAGGGGGAAAACGAACATGAAATAAAACAAGGTGATGCAATGAATCAGGGGAAAGGAGGGGACGCGAGAGGGACAGAAAAGAGTACGCCGGTGACAAGATGTATGCCGGTCCCCATGGCCCTCAGAAATAAGAATATCAGGATTGTCAGGGGAAGGAACCTCGTCACATCTGACGTCGACTCGGATGAAGAGGAGTTACTTCCTGGAATGAACGTCGAGTTGCAGAAGAAGGATTTAATAGATGTGAGGGAGAGTATGAGGGCGGATGCCCAGCAGGACTTCATCATCCCACCCAAGGAGAGGAAAAAGGCCGCGAGGAAGGCAAAAAAGGAAAAGCCCTTGGAATCACAGACGGAGGTGAGCAAGCAATTGTCTTACTCGGATATGCTTAAAAACGTAAGCACCAAAGGGACAGTAGGCGGGTCGAACGAGGCTCCTGCTTAAGTTACCATTAAAGGTGCTGTAGACGACTGGAACCCTACAGAGATATGGAAGCAGCTCCCGAGCGAACAGGAGCTCAGGTGGAAGTAGGGAAAGTCACTCATGCTGGCAAGGCCGTCCTGGTTAAAACCAAGGGGTCTGACCAGGCCATGAAACTCATAAAGTGGAAGACTATAGGAGAGAAAGGTCTAGTGGCTAGGTTGGCCAGGACTAAGAGGCCCATATTCGAGGTGAAAGGAGCTCTCAAGGAATGGGAAGCAGAGACCCTAGAAAAAGCCCTGTGGCATAAACTGGAATCAGGGGTCCTGAAGAGACCTGACCAGAAGGAGGGTAAAGAATGGCTTAGGTCATGTTTCTCTTTCCTTGACAGAGGTGGCCTAAAGAGGAGGTGGGTGATTGAGGTCCACCCTATAGCAAGGGACATCCTCAGAGGAGAGAGGATAGGAGGAGGATGGTGGACCCTAGATATAAAAGACTATCTGGATGCTCCCCACTGCCTAAAGTGTCTAGCTTATGGACACATATTGGCCAAATGCGAAAAATCAGTGACGCGTAAGTGATGTGGGAAAGAGGGCCACAAGGTGGTGGAATGCCCGAACAGGAAGAGTGGCCTATCCCCAGAATGCAAGAACTGCAAAATGGCTGGAAAGCAAATGGGTATGGACCCCATTATGCCGGGAATAGGGACTGTCTGGTACACAATGAAGAAATAAAGGCGCAGATCCAGAAGACCAGATATGGATGAGCTTAAACTGGATCAGCTCAACATGGGCAGAAGACGCGTAGTGGTGGAAGAGTTAAGAGAAATGGCCCGGCACTGTGATATAGTGGCAGTGCAGGAGCTGTGGTGCGTAAGAGGTGTAGTCCGCCGGGTTCGGAGTGGCATCGAGGGTGGTGGCGCTGGGCAGTGGAGAGAGGAGGCCCAGGGCAGCCATCATTGTGTTCAACCCCGCCCTCGATGTCATGGAGCTGGTGCAGCACATGACAGCGGACCAAGCGGCATGTTATGTTAAATGGAGGAATACCGCTTTTGTACTGGTATCATCATACATGCCGCCTCAACAGGATATCACTGACAATGTTGCTGCTCTAGAGGCTGTTGCACTCCGATATCAGAACGTAATAGTCTACTCTGACACAAACTCGTGGAGCACGGTCTGGGGATCAGTTAGAACAGATGCAAGGGGTATGACAGTTGAGGACTGCCTAGCCAGATGCCAGCTTATCGTATTGAATGAGCCCTCTGCACCCACATTTGTGGGAGCGAGGGGTCAGAGCTGGATTAATGTAACCCTGGCTACTCCTGTCATGTCAAGGAGGATTACTGACTGGTCCCTACAGTCTGACACGAGCTCCGACCATGGAACCATTAGATTCAAGTTAAAGGAGAGTGATCACCACTACAGCGAAAGGAAAATGAGATTCGTAACGAAGACGGCCGACTGGGTGCTCTTTATCAGAGTCTAACTAGAGTCCAAGTTGGTGGACCAGGACTGGGAAGAGAGTACGAATCCCACTGCCCATGTGAGCTACTGTCTGGACCAGCGTGTAGAGAAGCTGTCCAGACTAATATGTGCTGCAGCGGGTGACTCTCTGAAACCCAGAGGAATGAGGAAACAGTGCGTTCCATGGTGGACTCCAGTGCTGACAGAACTCAAGGAGTATCACAGGGCCAGGCGTAGATACCAAAAGTGCAGGGTGGAAGAAAGAAAAGCAGCACTCTGGAAAGAATGCCGGGGCAAGTTTAGGCTATATAAGGCTGTAGTGCGACGCCAGAAGAGAGTTTCCTGGGACCAGTTCATAAAAACTGAAAGTGAGAAGAATCCCTGGGGTATTCCGTACAGGGTGGCGATGGATAAACTTAAACCCGGTCAAATAATGGCGGCAATAAGATCAGCAGGTGGACCAGCAGCCACCCTCGAGGAAACAGTTGGAAGATACTTGGATCAGACCTACCCTAGGGATGACCAGTCCCAGGACAACGAAGAGGATAAAGTTCTGAGGCAAACTATGGAGTATCCGCCTGGCACGGAGTTCATTCCACCATGGGACGTCTGGGACCTGCGGATGGCAATAGACATACAAAAGTTAGGAAGAGCTCCGAGACTCGACACCATCGATGCAGCGATCTTAAAGAGGAGTGCTCCCTATATCGAAGAAGAATTACTTGAGATAATGAATGAATGCTTGGATAGGGGGCACTTCCCAACTCAATGGAAGATCGCCAACATGAGACTGCTAAACAAGGGGGGAGGCAAAGACAAGCAGCTACCAAAATCCTACAGACCCATATGCCTCCTCCCTGTAATGAGCAAGGTCCTGGATCACCTCATTATAAAGTGTCTGGTGCCAGTCCTATGGGCAGCGAGTGACCCGAGGCAATACGGATCCACGAAGGGGCACGCCACTGGAGATGCCCTGATGAGATTACGCAGGGAGGTTGATGACAAGGCGGAGAAATATGTCATGATGGTCCTCTTCGACATATCTTCTGCCTTTGATAGCGTATGGTGGCCCTGCGTACTCCAGCGCCTCCAACAGTTCGACGTCCCCAGCAACTTGTACTCCCTCATTAGGGGGTACCTCAGCGATAGGAAAGCTAGGATACGGGGTACCTTCTATGAGCATCAGACAACAAATAAAGGAAAATGGCACATGGAGATCTTGTCTCTTTTTTTTACTTTGCTTCAGCTTGCTAACATTATAAAATAATACTTATTGTTACTGAATAATGAAAGATAGGAAAAGAGGTTGAATTGAAACAGAATCAAATTTTTCCATTTCAACTGACTATTGAACTGAGGTTTCACTGAACAAGATTAATAAAATAAGATGAAAAAAAAAGTAAGGAGGTTTTGAAAAGGGCCAAGGTAGAGATACTGAACCTCTGGGGCAATGATTTAATGATCTGTAATAGTTACTGAGGCGATTTTTGAAAAAAAAATGAACCTGCAAGAGTGAAATGTTCATAAATTCCTTGAAATAGACATTTCAAAGGAATATATATTTTCATCTAGCTTGGGAATCCTAGAAGAACACTATTAAAACTGTACAAGTGTTAAAATTGTGGAGTGGAACACTGAAAGGTGTATGTAGAGGGAGAGCAGAAGAGAAAATTTGTTGATGTTTTATTATTAATTACTGATTGTGGAAGTAATTATTATGTTTTTAATTAGAGCAATGACACAAAGAGTGTACTTCCTAGTAATCTTTTTCTGATTTTAAAAATACCTAATAGAAGGCTTACAAACAGCCTAGGATGAAAATCTATATTTACCATAGAATTAACTAAATATTATATTATTGGCTATAAATAAAAATCATTCTAGTAGGAGATTAGAAGTTCATTGACACACAAAAAAACTAGCTATTTATTCATATCTCTTGTTTAGTCTCCTTTAAATAACAGTTACACATTAAAACAGTGTAATACTTACACTTTCTGTATTTATTTTCCGGATGTGTTTCCCAACATCTTGAAAAAAAAAATTGTGTCCCATGTCTGATAACATTTTTTTTTTTTTTTTATTACTTATAGGATAAAGAAAATCATTCTCCTGGTGATATCCCTTATATGTGTAGACAGCGAACGTGCTCTACCTTAAGTTTACCTACATTTAGTGCAAGAGCTGAATTGAGTGAAATGGAAAGAGGATCTCTTTTAGATAATGGATGTACGATTCAAACAGCATGTGTTTGACAGTGAAATTGTTGCTCATAAAGATGAGTTCTTATGTGCTCAGGTAAGGTGTTTTTTGTTTTATTCATAATTTTCTATCACTCTAAGTTTCTTTTTCTGAAATATGGTTCCTTTAAAAACCTGTTAGTGCTTACATTTTATGAAATATTTGTCAGTGGTAGAATTTGGGATAATTTATTTTTACATTAATTATAATATTAATTGAAACGTCTTCTATCTTATTTGTTGTTCTCTTTGGTTTTATAGTAATAGTCTCACTTGAAAATGAAGTAATAAAGATTTGTCTCATTTATTATTGATACATTTAAACAATAAAATAAGGTAATGTAAAAAAAAAATTCAACATGTCTTTACACACACATACACTAAGTCACATTTTATGTTGAATAGGAAGCGATAACTAAAAAAAAAAACATTTAGTTTAAGTAATTAACAATTGAACTACAGTACACTAGACAAAATTTATTTTGTCATTGTTAAAACCATTTAAAGAGAATTTTTAAGCAGCTAAATTAAGTTCTGTTTAAAAAAAAAAAACATAAATAAAAGTGTCGTTAACTAAGACTTGTAAAATTTCTCAATAAAAAGTTTTAATAAAAAAATTTGACTATGTTATTCAAACTCAGAGAAAAGGCAAGAAGAATCTTGTTGACAATTGCGGTTATAACTTTTTAAAAAAGTTGAAGATATAACAGTTAATTATACTGCCTTTATTAAGTAATTTTGTTAAATAAAAATTGGGTATAATTTTATTTAAAACAATAAACTACTTCTATAATGTTGTAGTAAGTTTCATTTCATAATACCTGGATTCATACATCAATATATAAGCAATAAATTCCTTGTTAATATTAAGAATGAGGTAATTTAATAAATGCTAGTTTTTTCCTATTATTTTAATTATTCTATTTTTTTTTCTCAGGTGATACTTTGTGATCTTCACAACAAGAGTACAAGACTACATGTCATTTGTGTAAATTGTTATTTGTTAATAACATTTAATCATTATAAAATTTCATTTTTTATTATAAGATGGTCCATTTTCTCATGGATGATAATAAAGCAAAAAGGTTTTATTTTATTTTAAGTCATAATGTTAGTTATTGCTTAAGAATTTGTTGTAATTGTATATTAATACAAATATTTAAGTTATAACTATTGTTCATGGAATTTGTTGAATTAATGTTTTATTTTTATTTAGTCCGTTGATAGCAGAATTTTAAATGTAATATGAATTAATTTATTCTATTTAAAGGAGTTAGAAAAAATATCACTTTTAATGCATAATAGTGACTTTCTTATTAATATATTTATTGTTAATTTTAATTTTGAATTGTCATATAAAAAAAAAGAAAAAAAAATCTGGCATTTCAAAACGAGTTTACTGTTATCTTTAAATAAATAGATTTTTATGTAAAATCTAATCCATATACTTCACTAATGAATCTCCTTTTTTTTTAATAGTTTATTTTTTTTTTTATATTCTAATACTAACAGTATTTAAAATTTTCTTTTGAAGACTTGGTTTTCTTTTTTGCATAGTACCCAAATTGAACAGTTAAATTTCTTTGATTCAATTTTATATAGACATGAATATCACAAAGACAAGAATTAGATATCAAAATTGAGTCAAGTCTTACTGATCTGGCTTATCCTCACAGAATTTTTTAGAAGAACTAATTAAAATTTGATATTCCAATAATTTAGTTTAGCAAGGAGTAAAGGATTCGCCTTTGTTATGGCAAAACAATACTAATTATGCAACAAGCCGTTTAGACATTGAGATATTTCACTGAAATGTTTCTTTGGTTTTTAAAGTTGTTAAGTTTTACATTACAATATTAATTTATGAAAATGAAAAAATAATTTTATTCTGGAACTACAGTCCCCTAAGAATAATAACAGTGTTACAAATTTATGGGTATTAGTCTGACTTAAAACAATAAAAAATACAAGCTAATATACTGCTTATTGTTATTGCAGTTGTGCAATAGTTGAAATTACACAGTATACAGATACAAGTAATTTTACATATTAGCGGAAGTTTGAATGTGGAGTAGGTGCTGGAACAGGAGTTGTTTGAAGGAATTTGTGGACAAATATTGATGTATGGAGGTAGGAAGAGAGTTCCGAAAGGAGGTAGCACGAATGATGAAGGATTTGTTGAAGGAAGTAGTTTTATGGGAGGGGATATATAAATCCTAGTATTACGAGAGTGGATAGAGGAGCGTAGGTAAGGATTTCCAGGATGTAGGGAGGGTTTTTGATTCTGATAACTTGGAAAAGGAAAACACCAAGGAGGAATTGTCGTCGGGAAGTAGTATAAAGCCACTTCAACTCGGTGTACCAGAATCATACATGTGAACGCCTGGGGATCCCGAAGATTTATCTTATGAAACAGTTCATGAGTTTCTTTAGTCTCATTTCTACCCTGGCAGATAGCCCTCCATACACCAAACAGCCATAGTTGAAGTGGGGGAATATAAGGGAGATTACAAGGAGCTGTCTGGTTTTTAGAGGAATACAATCATGGAATCTTAGGAGTTGTTTAAGGAAAGTTATGGATTTTCGGGTAATCTGGGAGATATGGTTATTCCAGGAGAGGTTCTGGTCAAAGGTTGTTGGGTAATGTAGAGGAAAGTAAGGAAGGGATCTAATGAGATGTCTGGACCCGATGAGAATTGCCTTAGTTTTATCTGCATTTATCTTTAATTAATTTATTTCTGCCTATCTGTTGATGCAGTCGATATCCTCTTGCAGCTTCCAGGCAGCCTCAGGCATCTCAGAAGGTTGGAATGATTGGCATATAGGTGGTAACAGGAGTGTTGAATGGCGTCAGGAAATGGAGAAAAGGATCGGGGAGAGTGAGGAACCCTGAGGTACACCTCATATTAGTTGAAGGGGAGATGATGGAGGTTTGTTCGGAATTACAACTGTCTGAGATCGGTCGGATAAGAAGGAGATGAACCATTTTAGGATGCTTTTTGATATGGGTATGGAGTTTGGAAAGAAGGATCTCATGATTGACGAAATCAAACACTGGAAAAGTCAAAAAGGATTAGGATGGAGATTTTCTGTTTATCTATGGTGGATTGGAGGTCTTGGGTAATCCTTAGCAAGGCAGACTGGGTGGAATAATGGGAATGGAAACCAGATTGTAAAGGATTGAGAAGATGGTTTTGCTCGAGAAAGCTGTTCAACTGAGAGTGGACTAATCTTTCTAGAGGTTTGGATAGATTGTATAAAATGGAGATGGGTCTGAAGTCGGAAGCTGATGAAGAGTAGGAACTTTGTTCAGTGGGCAGACTATGGCTCTTTTCCCGGATTAGGAAAAATAGAATTTCGGAGAGAGAAATTATATATGTGTAGAAGTGCGGGAAGTAAGTTTGAAACGCAGAGTTTGATAACTTTGACAGGTATTTGGCCAGGACCATAATTGTTCGTTTTTGGTTTAAGGGTGGCAGAGAGTAGGTCAGTAGGAGAGATATCGAGAAAATAAAAACTTATCATGATTGAAGGGGGTTTCGGTGATGGAAAAAGATGAGCGCTCATATGAAAATATGGATGGAGAATGGTTAGTGAAAAAGGAATTTAGCTTGTTAGGGTCGACTGGATACTGTGTGCAGGTTTTCGAGCTAACAACAGACAGGTTCTTAAGAATTGTCTATGTGAATTTAGGGTTGGGTTCTTGGTATAAAACGTCATTGAAGTATTGGGCTTTGGTACGATGTAGGGACATTTGTTTGTGGTTTTGTAAGGATTTAGATATCGAATAATGCTGAGGTAATCGAGTAAGTCTTTAGCGTTTTCTAGTAGCCTCTCTTCTCCTCATTAGTTCTCTTATTTTGGCATTGATTCAAGGAGCAGGAGAACATTTAATTTACTGTGTTTTGAGTTGTGGAGATATAAAATACATAATAGTCCAGGGTGACGGTCACAAAAAAAACTTAATATAGTGAAAAACTATTTTATTTTAAGCCAATGTTTGACCAACTATGCAGGGCTTCATGAACGAACAAAATACAAAGGATTTAGAAAATAGAGGAAGGAGATGGTCCGGGGTGGTGATCATAAAAAAAAAAAACCAACTAAAATGGTGAAAAAAATATTTTATTTCAAGCCGAAGTTTCGACTCTACTTTGCAGGTCTTCTTCAGGGCTAGAACAAACAAGTTACAAAAGGATATAGAATTGTGGAAGTTACGTAATATTTAGATAAAAATTATGAACAATGTGAATAAACGTATTAAAATTATAAACAGTGAAAATAGAAATATTAATAACAATGAACTATGTAAACAAAGTATAACTAAGTAACAATATCCTAAACTGAAGTAAATAAATGGTAACAATTGATGTAGATTATTGTAGATGGTTTGTTGTAGTTTATTGTAGGGAAAAATTGAATGTAATACGGAGGATGGATAATATACGTAATTATGAATATAATCCTACAGATTATAAAGAAACAGTGAAAGAAAAATGAAAAATAATTAGAAATAATAGACATAGGGAGTGTGAAGAACCCAAAAATAAAATAAAAATAGAGACTTACAGCATGGAGTTATGCAGCATGGAGTTTATGTTGAAACTGGGAAAACATATACATGGGGAGAAAACCCATGCAGAAAATTGTTGACCTGGTTGGGGAATGGTGGAGTGGGTAAGTAGTAAAAACAAAACAAAAACCAGGAATAGTACAGTATCTTTTTTTTTTTTTTTTTTTATTATTAAAGAAATTTACAACTGTAATTAATAATAAATACAACAAGTAAATATGAACAAGTAACATGACATGTGCAACATGAAGAGAAACTACCCATTGGTAGCACTCCAATTATATTTCTATACTAGAAGGTCCCGAGGCCATCTTCTTTTCAGACGCCTCGGAGGGTTATCAGGAATAGAAGAGGAAGCAAGGTTGGAAATGAGAGGGTTCGGATGGTTCAGAAGTTTATTATGAAAGGACAGGTATCTGGATTGAGCTAAATCGGAAACATATGGTACATTAAGGTCATTATGGATGATTTTATTTCTGACAAAGTAGGGACCATTAAGGAATTTGGATTGTAGGGATTGGATACAAGAGAAATTTGATGATTTAGCAGAGCCCCAAAGCTCGATCCCGTAAGTCCAAATAGGCCTTATTATAGTAATATATATGAGTCTTTTGTAAATAGTTGGCAGTTTAGAGCGTTTGTCCAGTAAGTGCTGGAGTAGTCGGAAACATCGGACGGTTTCTAATCATTTCAGTCTGGTATGGGGGTTCCAAGTGGTCGTTTGTCAAGGTGGAGTCCTAGGTATCGGATTTGGTCGACAGGGATAAGTGGGGTATTGTTAAAGGATACTGTAGGACAGGAAGTCATAGGTTTACAATGAAGAGTAAAGGTAATTTGATGGGATTTATTGGAATTTATTTTAATCCTCCAGTTTTGACACCATTTTTCAAGACTTGTGATGTGTGATTGAAGAGTTTGGGATGCAATAGATGGATCGTTATTGACTGATAGGATACATGTGTCATTGGCATATGTGGTCATGACAGTGTGGGAATGGGTTGGGATGTCAGCTGTATAAAGTATAGGACCTAGGATACTACCTTGAGGAATTACAGTATCTAAAATTTGAAGATATTGATGGAAACAAGAAAAAATACAATATCTATGAACTGATTAATTATAAATATATACATATGCATACAAGATAGAATTATGAATTTATAGATAAAAGTAAAATGTAAATAAAAAATAAAAATGAAAGACCATAACATAGAAGTAAAATGTAAATATAAAAATAAAAATGACAGACCATACATTGCAGAATTAATTTAAAAGTATAAAAAAGAAACTAAGATGAATAATTACAATTTTAATTAGTTGTATATATTGAAAGAAAATTACATTTAAATACCAGATAAAATTGAGAAATTGTAGATATAAATATAATAAATACAAAATAAAACAGATGATCGTACATAAGTGTAGAATGCAAATGCAAAAAAAAATGAGAGATCATGCAATACGGAAATACTAAAAAATTAAAGAACAATTAAATTAATCAATAAAAAGTTGAAAATAGATTTTTATAAAAAATAGATGAATATAATTTTGGGTTGATAGTTGTCTGTCGTGAATAATGAAGATAAGGATGGTTTGGGGTTATCAGTCAGAAATAAAAAGGCAAAAATAAATAATAATATTTATTTTAACCATTTGCCGACGTTTCGACCTGAAGTTCAGGCCTTCATCAGAGCTAAGAAAAGAAACAGATAACAAGGTATGAGGAACATAAACAATGTAGGTAAAAAAAATTAAAGTAAAATGAAGTGGCTAGAATAATGACAATAACAATAACTAAAAAATAAATAATAATAACCGTTAAAAAGTGTGGAATAATGAAGTAAACATAATTAAAATAAGGTGACATAAGTACTAAAATAGTAATCTTAGAATAAAATGTAAAACAGAAAAAAGAATAGTTGAAAATAGAATTCAAAATATTGAAAATAGAATAGTTAGATAGAAAATTGAGATATTGTAAAGTCTATCAAAATGTACTGACAACGTATAATAGAATAAAGAGTAAAAACTGAGAAAAAGAATGAAAGGAAGGAGGAAAAAAAAAGAAGAATACTGAAATAAGATAGAAAAACAACCTGCTCCAAGAGATTGCTGGAATAGAGTGGAGATATGGTAGCAAGGGAGGGAGGGAGATGTATTGTTGCATCATCTCTGACGGTTGACTGACAAAGTTTAAACTAGAGTACCGGAAACTTAAATAATGGACGAGATATATTACTCATAAATATTATGAATAATTAATAATTAGTTCATTCTTGCCCTGATGAAGACCCCGGACCATCTCTTTCTTCAATATTTTTCTACGGTAAACTATTGAGTATTCAATATAAATGTATTGTTGAGGTGACTGAAACCATTAATTGACCTTTTAAAATCTTTGTCAACTGTTGTTTCTGAAAAAATTTTCTGGTGGCCTGAGAGGATATCTATTGAGCAGCTCTGGAGAACCACTCATCTGCTTCCTATACATCTCGAAATAAGTGCTCGACAATGGAATTCCCAGGGAGTAAAAAGAATAGAAAGACCCAGAGAGAAATGAAGCAGATCAGCAGAAAAATATCTTTATCTGATTGTCAAAGTTTGACAGGAAGTGTGAGGGATTGCAGCTAAAAGAGGGTTATAGATACACTTGTAGATGTCCTATGCTCTCCTAAGAGTTAATGGAAATTATGTTTGTTAACACTATCTCATTTGTTAGACTAAAAACTTACATCTACATATATATGATCCTACAAAAATTGGCCTTTATTTGACCCAAACCAAATGGTAGCATTGAATAAAAATGATTTACTTACGCTGGACAATTATACAGCCACCAAGAAAAAGACAAACACAATTATAAAAAATAAAAAATAAAAATCGTTTAGGAAAGTCAAACAAACAAATTGGATTTTCATACAATTGGATTGGGAAAAACAGAAAAACCACTACAAAATTTGCATTTAATGAAGATAATAAATAGGTGTACAAAGGTAATTTATTAATTTCCGTTCTTGTAAATTTTTAAGATAGAAGATATTTATTACTCTTTAGAACACAAATTTTATAAAATTTGCATCAAGGATTGTTACTTCTAAAATAATTCATTTCCATATGCATTCCAGATTTCGTGTGATTCATTTTATTTAATAGATATGGTTATTATGGTATCGAAGGCTTTGGAAAAGTCAAGGAGTACAAGAAAAGTTAGTTTTTTTATCATTTATAATCGACTGAATATCACTATGGCAGATTGAGTGGAGTAACCTGGGCGAAAATCAGATTGGAAAGGGTCCAGTTGATTGGAATGTACAAGAAAATTGAAAACTTGGGATTGCACTATTCTTCTCAGGAGTTTTTAAAGGTTGGAAAGGATTGAAATTGGACGGAAATCATTAGGGGCAGAAGGGTTAGAATTTTTATTTAAAGGACGAACAGTGTTTTCCTTCCATGAGGAAATACTGAGTTTTGGGGGGAAAATTATATATGAAAAGGAGAACTGGAAAGATTCAGGCTTTTGAACAGAAATTTGATTAATTTGGCAGGAATGCCATTCAGACCAATATGATTGGAGTGTCATTTCACCACGGCGTATATGAGGCCTGCGGGCAAGATATATGAAAATTAAAAGTCGTCATTGTTGAAAGATGAACCATGAGAAAAGAAGGAAGAGGTAAAAGGAGGGGTAGAAGAGAAAGCCGATATAAAATATGAGTTTAAATCATCTGGTGAAACTGTGAAGACTGCTGAGAGAGGGGTCTGGAAGATTCACAGAATGAGAGTACGAATGAGTAGCCATTTGGATTTGGAATCCAGAGCTGATTAAGGGGCTTCATGGAAATAAGTCGGATTGTGGTTTGTGTCAGGTTGCGGAGTACCCTAAACGCTTGATAGTCGTCGACCAGCCAAGTACGTCTAATCGTCTACGGGCAGCATCATGCCTCTTCTGGAAATCCTTAATTTGCTGACACATCCAAGGAGCGGGACGGCGATGAAAGGTAAAGGTTACAACTGTTTCATTTAATCAAAATAGTTTTCACTACTATCAATACATTTCTGCCAACGTGTTGGCAGCTTTTCCATTCCCTCGGAATAGAATTTCCCATCTTTAGAATTGATAAACTCCAAAAACGAATTTTCTAATTCCCTTTGTCCATTAAATATTTTGTCACGTAAGTAGTGGTCCTGGCCCAGGTGTCTGAAAAAATGATAATCCGTAGGCGAGAGGTCTGGAGAGTAGGGCGGATGTAGCAGAGTTTCATATCCAAGCTCAAACAGATTTTGTGATGTCACAGGTGAGACATGTGGTCGGGTATTGTCATGCAACAAAATGGGCCCCTTTCGATTGACCAAAGATGGCTTATTGCCAATGTCTGATGCATTGTATTAATTAACTTTCAAGCTTTTTTAACGTTCCAATCGCCTTCTGGTGATCATTAATGGTCCATTTTCTAAGTTGCTAAGTCGATTGGTTAAGTTTCCCTGCAAGTTCTCGTCATGAAGACAGGAAATCTTTCCACGACCTTCTTTGTCTTCAAGGCTAAAGTCTCCTTCCCGAAATTTTATTGAAGAACCACTGTTGAGCAGTACACTTATTAATGCTGCCCTCGCCTCAGACTTGATTGATTTTTCTGGTCGTCTAGGCCCAATTCCGGCCGAGTTTAAACTCATAAAACAAAATTATTGGAAAATCACGCATTGACATCTTAGTAAAGACTGAATTATTTCTAAGCAGCGAAATGCTACAGAGGTAAACAAACATTATCGTTTGGAAGAGGATTAATAAGTGTTGACATTCATACAAATGATTGATCCAGTAAACATAAACAGTTTGTTATATAGTAGTTTAAAGTAAACTCTTAGAGTATGTTAAAGAATATAGGATAGAATAGAATAGACAAAATCCTGCATTATTTTCCAGACAATTCAATACTTTTTCTTGACTGTTAAATAATATAAATTATTTTCTTTGAAGTCTTGAGGTTCAGTCATTAAATGAATAAAATCGAGACAAAATCTTACCCAACCTGAAAACCCTAGATTGGAAAAGATTATGTTCCTGTTCCTAAATTGATACCATGGTGGATATCTTCACTTCCAAAGTATCTTCTTAATATTCTTGCAGTTCACGCTTCTCTCAAATCCTCTACCTTTCATCGCCGTACCGCTTCCTGAATGTGTCAGCAAATTAAGGATCTCAAAAAGAGGCGTGATGCTGCCCGTAGACGATTAGACGTACTTGGCTGGTTGACGACTATCAAGCTTTTAGGGTACTCCGCAACCTGACACAAACCACAACCAAATCCGACCTATTTCCATGAAGCCCCTTCATCAGCTCTCGATTCCAAATTCAATGGCTACTCATTCGTACTCTTCCAGACCCCTCTCTGAGCAGGCCTCCTTTTAACTCTTCCTTCTTTTCTCCTGGTTCATCTTTCAGCAATGACGACTTTTAATTTTCATACATCTTACCCACAGACCTCATATCCGCCGTGGTGAAATCACACTCCAATTACATTGGTCCAAATTTCATTCCTGCCAAATTAATCAAATTTCTGTTCAAAACTCTGAATCTTTCCTGTTCTCCTTTTCATATATAATTTTTCCCTCCAAAACTCAGTATTTCCTATCTCATGGAAGAAAAACACTGTTCGTCCTTTAAATAAAAATTCTAACCCTTCTTCACTTAAAGATTTCCGTCGAATTTCCTTGAACATTCCAATCAACTCGACCCTTTCTAATCTGATTTTCGACCAGGTTACTCCACACAATCCGCCATAGTGATATTCAGTCCACTATAGATGATAAAAAACTAAATGTTCTTGTACTTCTTGACTTTTCCGAAACCTTTGATACCATTAACCACCCCATCCTCTTTTCCAAATCAAAATCACTATCTTTTTCCAACAGCGTTATTCTTTGGTTTCAATCTTTCCTCTCTCAACGTTCACAAGACGTCGCTATCCCTAATAAACCTCTGTCTTCCTATCTTACTCTGTCCTCAGGATTGGCTCAGGGCTCTAGCATATCTACTATTCTTTTTAGTTTCTATATCAACTACCTCCAAAAATTAATCTTCCAATGTTCCCATCGCCTCTATGCCTGCTGATGATTCCCAAATTTATATTTTCTTCCCTCCCTCTGAGTTGTATGATGCGTTTGCCAAAATGCAAGAAGATCTAAATCGCATCAGCGCCTAGACATTCATAAATGGATTAAGATTAAACGCTGATAAAACTCAAGCCATTGTCATTGGTTCCAAATTTAATACCAACATTCCTATTCTGTACCTAAATGACCATCCCATCAAGTTCAACCCCTCAGTTAAAAGCCTAGGCATTTTCATTGACCAAATCCTCTCCTGGAATCACTATATTGCCCACATCTCTCGACGGTCTATTTGTACTCTTAAACTATTCCACCGCTTCCGCCATCTCCTTCCATTACCCACACGTAGACTCCTAGTATCCTCCCTCATCTTTTCCCACCTTGACTACGGCTGCGTGGCGTACGGTAGCCTCTCGGTGGAACTCAGGGACAGACTAAAAAGAATTATGAATAGCTTCCTAATATTTGTCAAAGAGACCCCGAGACGTTTCCGGGTTTTTCACTACTATGCCGAGTTAGAGTGGCTCTTCTTCTGCTTCAGAAGACTTCCTTGGCACATTCCTTTAACAAATAATCATCACCCTTCCTATGTATATGATGTCCTTCAATTGAAATGATCTATCCACTCCCTTTCCACAAGATCTCGTCCTTCTGAATTGTATACCCCTTTCCACAGATCTGCTTCATTTCAACACTCCTTTATGGTCCACTCCACCATTTTTTGGAATTACATCCCGCTTAAAATCCGCCATGCACCATCCTTAACCACATTCAAAACCCTATTATTGCAATTCCTCTTCACAATCAAATCAGACGCTGGTTAATTATGTACTATGTAACAAGGATTATTTATGTTTTATTTTTATACACCACTATTTTATTTATTTTTTGTTTGTTTATTATTTATGAATTGGAAAATTATCATTTTGACATAGCACTTTAATAAAGAAAAAATAGGAAATTGTTTGTTGTTTTTATCAATTTTATTTTTTGCTATTTACGACATTTTTTATATTTGAAATTTATTTCATTTTTTACATTCCTCAATTTGTATATATGTACATCTTTTTCCATCTTAATGTCCGTTTTTACTTTCATTTACCTATATATGAAATATACAGTAAAGTATTGCTTTCGTAAATATTTTAGAATCCCAGTTTTCAACGGAAATACACGTTTTGAGGTCCCCTGAGTCAAAATAACCTGGGATGAATACAAATATGCCTGGGATATTACAGCAACATTTTCATCAAAATTGACAAACCGTAAGTGGTACTTTATATCGTTGATTTAACACATTTTCATGATTTTCTTAAAAACGGCTCGAACGATTTTGATTAAACTCTCTAGGTCATTGTATTATTGAATGGTTTTTAATTTGAGGCAGGTTTTATTCTCATTGATGTTCTCTAACTGGGCTTAAATGGCTAATTTTCAATATTCTTCCTCTAAAGTACGTTTAATTTTTTTTTATTTGAAATAATTAACTATTTGATAATTAGCTCTGATTTGTAAAATAGTTTAATATAATATATGAAATAATTTGATAATTAACTGAAGGAGAAATAAGAGATGTCTCGCAAAATAGTCTAGCTCAAAAACGAAAAGTCGTACAAAAGTGAAATTGCATATTTAAGGTTTTCATATGCTTGAGATGTTACAGCAAATTTTTCGTCATAATCGGAAAACCGGAAGTGTTACTTTATATCGTGGACTTTTTTTACGATTTTCTAGAAAACGGCTCTAACGATTTTGATTAAATTCATTATATCAGTGTAAAATTAAGCAGTTTCAAATAAAATATAGGTTTTATTCTGATTGATGTTCTCTAACAGGGCTTAAATGACTAATTTTCAATATTAGTTTTCCCTAAAGTATCTTTAATTTTTTTTATTTGAAATAATTAACCCTATATTGTTTGATTGATGGGTCTCTAATATAAAAGATAGCTAAATATGAAATAATTAGATAAGTAAATAAAGGAGAAATAACAGATAATAGTTGTAATGAAGAACCAAAGGAATAGGAGAGCAACCGAGCTCACCCAAAAGATTAGAACATGCTTCCATGCGTAAAATGAGCTTACTATAATACGGACTCCGACCATATAATGTAAATATACATATGCGGTTTTCATAAATGCTATTTTTTGTGTTGTTTAATATTTAATTGTATAGATTACAGCCGTATAACTATTAAAATTTGTATATATAGGGGTAATTATATAAATAAAACCCATAATCAAATATAAATAAATACAGCATTTATAATTTATTACTTTCACTTTCCCTTTGTGTGAAAATACTTATTTCTGCTAAGAAGGGAGAAGTGAAAGTTGTGTGATGTGCGCACCACACCAGATATTTGTATATAGTTTATATACCATTGCTAGTTCTGTAGTAACACATATAAACAATTTATTTTCTTTTACTTAGTATTTTTTTTCCGCTGCAACGGGTTTCTCATAAAATTAATTTAATGCCCCTTTCCAATTGTATTTATCTACTTGTACTTATTTTATTTCTCTGATGTCGCACTAATGCCATAGTGTCATCCCGTTGCTCATCTTCTGTCATTAATATATCTCTGTCATTAATATATATATATATAGTGCTCTCGACCAATCTCCGCTGGCTTTAGTACCAGTGACGCGGTTGGGAGAGTAGCGCAGGGTTCTCCTGGAGTTCCCTCGCCTGATTGTATATAGGTATGCATGTGTTTTTTTGTTTGTTTTTTTTCTTAGTTTTAATTTTCTTATTTTTTAGGTTATTTTATTTTATTCTCTATTGTATATACTTTTGATTATTATTTTGTTCTATTTATTTTATTTTTTTGTACATATGGTGTGAATGTCATCCTACCTCACTATAACCAATGTCCAACAGACAGATTGTTATAATACTCAATAAAGAAATTTAAAAAAAAAAAAAAAAAAAATATATCTTATATAAGTTATGGATATATTCCATATGTTCTAACTGTTAAGGCTTTAACATAAAAAATAAATACCTTTTCTTTACTTACTTTTGATATTTTTTCTTTTCTGGAGGTTTTGCTTTTTATTTCTATAAATGTAATTTTTTTCCCTATATATGTAATTTTTTTTTTCCAGTACAACTATAAGTATTGTTGAGAAGATTGTATTATATTTTTTAATTGTTTATATACTATTAGGGAGTGGGGTAGCTCAGTGGTAGGGCACTGAACTTCCAATGCAAAGGTCCCAGGTTCGAACCCCGGCTCATGGCAGAAAATTTATTTATCTGTTTCATTAGCCGTGAGGCGACCCTGGGTCGGTAGACTCTCCTGGGGCACACCCAGTCTCTATAAAGTGACTACCCTTAATTAAATAATTGATTAAGGGGGAAAACCTGGCGGTTGAGCGTGATCTCGGTCAAATCACCTCCTTGCACAACCGTTGACCTAGAAATAGTACTTTCCCTAAATAGTAGTGAACCCCAGGCCCTTCATGGGTTGTAGTGGTACAGGTTTGTTTTTGTTTTTTTACATACTATTATTTGAATTGTTGTATATACTGTTTGAATCTTTATTAAGTTAGTTTTTGGCCAGATATATATTTTTTCTTTTGTAATTGTTCATTATTGTTATTCTAAGGAGACTTCATTCCAGAATAAAGTTGTTTATTTTCTATTTCGATTTCTCTCTGTGTATATATATATATATATATATATATATATATATATATATATATATATATATATATATATATATATATATATATATATATATATATATATATATATATATATATATATGGTATATTTATATATATACCATTTTCATATTAACATAAACTTTCTTATTATCTGATAGGAATAACAACAAGTTATAATATTTTTTTTAAAAGATATGTTAATAAATTTTAGGATGAAACAACATTGTCAGAAATTG